AGGGAGGGTACGTTTGGCCTTTCTTCGGTGAGGGATGGTCAATTTGGGCTTTCTGAGATATGGAAACCTAACGAGCTAGAAACACCACATTCATGTAACATGTTTATTGAAAAGGTATAAATGACCAAAAACCTTGAAGATTGTCTTTATATTTGAAGACAACTCAGGGTGAAAAACTTTCAAAGGCGGCGTGTCTCTTCGAACCAAAAGGTTGGACGGAAGCCCGACAACGTTCTTGTGATCAAGGTATTCGAAATGAGGAGAAACAATTTACCATAAAGGAAGTTTTTCAGCGGAAGCATCCGATTTTGACTGAAAGTTTACGTTTACACCTGACCCAAGTCCACTGAAATTAGTTGTAATTGTGATTTCAGTTGTATGCTTGTCTTAGAAATCGTCTCGACTTAAGTTTTTGGGTTATTCTTAACACTCCTTTGTCGCATCAACTTAAAGTATTTCCTAAGAATTACCTGCACTGACAACTATGGCCTGACTTTGACCCGCTACAGGTCAGCGATCGTGAGGAATCACCTAATATTTTATGCTGGAAGATCGGCAATTGAATTGTTTACATCTATGCAAAGTACGGCGTCAGTGCTACATATATATGTAGCTTCCAAACGCATCCCCTCTTCGCTTGTGTTTTGTTATGGCTACACACTCTTTTTCACAATCAAGTTCTGTTAACTGCTTTAAGCGAAAAGCATGTTGCTAGGTCCAGTTTCAACGTTTGTGTTTTCTGCTCAGTGCCTTAACCGCGGTGTGCTCGTTCGATTCAGTGGGCAAGATACTTGGTAGAGCTTCCGCGCCGCCCCCAAATCCAGGTTGCCGTGAGTGATCAAAATATTTTGCGTCACAGGGTGTGGCACCGCAACCGTATGGCACTATCGCTACTCATGCATTTTAATGGGAGTGGGGGTGGGGGGTGGGGGGTGGGGGGGGGGGGGCGTTAACGGATCCACCCGTGGTTCCGTGTTCATGTGAGTTCACGCTCACTTGTTCAGGTCACATAGCTTGTGTTCCATCACGCTTATTTCCGTCGGGCCGACTGTCCAGACTTCACAGCTGAACCAGCCCAGTAGGATTTGAGCAGCAAAAGACTCAACTTATGCGACCGACTACACTGATTGCGCAGGTCTGCACCGACTGCAGTACACTGCACAGGTCTGCGCGTATATACGCATGCATATATATGTATATATATATACATATATATATATATATATATATATATATATATATATATATATATATATGTATACATTCCGCGCCGTTCCACGACTCCGCCGGCGGCGGCGGCGGCGGCGGTGACGGCGCTCGGCTCGCCCGCTTTCCTGCAGCGGAGCACACGGTCACGCGTGGAGATGGACCGGGGTCACGCTGGGGTGGCCTGGATTTCTGCAGGCACTCTGTGGCTAGCATGCGTTCAGGCTGCACAGTCCTAGTCAGCCCGAGGTCATTGTGAGGTGGCAGCATCGGTGAAGAACTGCATGATTGGCAGCGCGGGCCCCGGGAGCGCACGGAGTCTGGAGCGAGCTGAACTTTGGGAATGTGCCCAAAGTCAGTAAGAAATCAGTTTGACGTCGGTCTGAAGTCACGTTGGTCCAAAGTTCCCAAGCCGGCGTTGCGCGGGTGTCGGTACACGACCCATTCGTGGCCGGCAGTCCGGCACGTCACCGCCGCCGTCGCCAAGCCGACGCCCACAGCGCCACATGGACGGAGAGTCGCGCCAACAGCCGTTCTGTGCCGGCTGGCCTCCGAACCCGGCCCAGAGCGTGGCGTCTCCTCTCCGACCTCACCAGACGCGTTAAACAGTCTGTCTCCCTGGCCAACCGGCCCACGCTGTGCCGCCATTGCGCGTCTGATACACACACACATACACACCCTCGCACACACATATACACACACGCTTGTAGCCTGTCGACCCCACAGAGCACGACCAAGGCTGTCGGTACCGCTGATGCGTCCGTCCTCCGACTGGCTGATCGCACACACACGGCCAAGCCGCACGATCCCCACCGGAGGCCCGTCCGCTGCTGACGCCCGCTGGATGATCGGTACACACACAGCCAGGCCGCACGACCCTCACCGGGGGCCGTCCGCTCCTGACGCCCGCCGGCAGCTCGCCGCCGCCTCCATATATCCGCGCCGAATCGCGCCGTCGCCTCGACACCGCCATCACGTGCACAAGGCGGTTACCGGCGGGACCGGGCGGTGACACGCACTCGGTCCTCCAGACGACAGGCCGGCGTTCGGTGACACTGCGGCGCGTGCAGGTGCCGCTGTCGGCCACGGTAAGCGGGCCCACGGCCGTGGCGCCCGCTGCCGAACACCCATGGCGCCCGCTGAAGACGCGATGGCGCCACCGCACGCCACCGCTAGCACGTGACGGCGCGGATGGCGGCCGTCTGACAATGACTGCATGGGGCCAGCTAGCTGCGTCCTTGTCCACGCGTTTGTCTGTCATTCTGCCTGTCCTTGTACCGTATCTGACGTCGAGTCCCACAGAGACTGGCCACGCGGGGCCCGGCCAACGTCATTGATTATGGCGCGCGCACCTCATACAGCGTATGGTCATTCAACATCCACGGACGTACACGCAATAGATCGTTCCAGTAAATGGTGGGTTGACTATCCGTGTCTATATCGACGAGCAAAGCAGCGGCCACGCCTGAATACTGCAAATGTGCAGAAAGACTAGCGCGTCTGCCGCTCGCTCTGTCAGACCTGCTGAACAGCAAGGCGCTGTTTGCCGACGCCCACGCCGCGACGACCCCAGCCGCACACTCACAGCGGGCGGCGCGTGTGCCACGGCTGCTCGGCCATTTCCCGCGCAACGACAGGCCGCCGGACGGGATGCAGCGCGCCGCAGTGCGCTTTTCCGGCTGTTCCGCTCCCGAGCGCAGCAGAGCAGCCGGCCGACCGTGACGCAGCCGTCATCCACCATTGTGCGCCACGCACAAACGCCAGAGCGGGCGGCATCCGGGCCGCCGTCGGCCGCCGCGCAACAGGCACGCCACCGCGATGACATATCGCGCGTGTGGTGCCGTCGCGACACCGCGGATGCGCATCCGCCGGCCCGTATACGTACGGGCCGGGTCCAGTCAGTGCGTCCTTCGGAGTGTCGGCCGTCACGGACGGCGTGCGGCGGCGCGCGCACACGTGACGGTCATGTGTGCACGCCAGCGTCATCCGCTCGCGTTACGTCGATGGCAGGGCCACCGCTGACACCGCGCGGCGACACATGACAGCGCCTCTTACGCGCCAGTGCAAATGGCAAACACGAGATCAGTCTTCGAGATGCTAATTAGTCGCAGCCGGTCCTTGTACAACGACCGCTCTCACTCCACGGATTGATTGACCGGGAGACGTCCAGCGGACTGGCGACCCCGCCTAGTCCGGGCGGCTGACGGTGGCGGCCGGGCCGGAGCTGCTTGTCCGGTCTGCGGTCTCTGGGTTGTCTGCCGGTCAGGTCCGCCTGCCGGTTGGTGACCGGTGACCTGCACGCAGCCGCCGTTTGCCGGGCGGCCCGCTCCGGCGCCACGCTGCAGGTCAGCCTCGCCGCCGGGCCCGGGGGTCAAGCGGGTCTCCGCCAGGCGACGGTCGCCGCCTCACCGCATGAGGTGTAGGGGCACGAGGGTGTGGTGGTCGCTGCGTGCACAGGGGAGTAAGTACGATTTGGACGCTGTTCCAACGCCAGTGGGACCGGTGTCCAGCGTGTGGCGCGCTGTCGGCACTGCGATCGATGCGGCGCCAGAGCCACCATACATATCCGACGATGATCAAATGACGCGCTAGTGTTGCAGGAGCTCGATAAGCCCGTCTTGCGGTGGGAAATGACCACACGCATATGTAAAGCAACCTCATTCCGACGCATCACGGCTGTCCTTACCGCACTTGTCCTGAACGAACACACCCTGCCGTTGATTTGAAGAATGCAACTACCACCTGACCTGCGTCAGCTATCAACTCAGTGAGCGCTAACAATATGACCAGTTGGTATAACCTCACCAGCCTGCAGAAATCACTTTCATTCCCTGTCAGTCAGTAACAATGTCACACAGAACTATGTCCATGCCTTCAGGAAACTAGCACGTAGCTCATCTATAACACGTGGAAAAGCGGTCTGCAGAGTGGAGCGATCGTGAACCATCAATGAACATCAGTCTTCGCCTCTCAATGGGGCAGCTTTCAGGGGCGTTCAGGGTTACGAACGAACGTTGGTCCTGTGCGGTCAGTAGCTGTAGGTCCCGACTCTGAGCAACCCACGACAGCTCGCATCAGTCGAAGGATTTGCTTTGAGGATCTGTGTTCGTAGTTTGCCTGTGCCCCATCTTCACCACAAATCAGTTCATTCGGTACTTGACACTCCGATTGGTGGAACCCACCCGCACGTCCGTACGTACGCATGCACGCGTCCGTGCGCACGGAAATCACATATATATCTATATATAAATATTTACATTGATATTTATTGCTATGATAAATGTATATATATATATATATATATATATATATATATATATAACCTAACCCTGTAACCCTGTATATATATATATATATATATATATATATATTGTATATATATATATATATATATATATATATATATATATGAATATACATTTATACATATACGTACACGAAGTCTCGTAGACGTGCCGGGCTGCAGCGGGATGTTGGTGTAGAGCTGTCGTGACTAACGCCGTGTGTGGGCTGGCCGTGATCCGACCCCGTGCTGCCGCGGTGGACGCCCGTCTGTCGTGATGTAACGCCGTGTGTCTGTGTGAGAGAGACCCGACCGTGATCCGACCCCGTGCTGCCGCGGTGGACGCCCGTCTGTCGTGACGTGACGCCGTGTGTCTGTGTGAGAGAGACCCGACCGTGATCCGACCCCGTGCTGCCGCGGTGGACGCCCGTCTGTCGTGATGTGACGCCGTGTGTCTGTGTGAGAGAGACCCGACCGTGATCCGACCCCGCGCTGCCCTGTGTGCCGCCAGTGGACACCCGGCTGGAGCGGAACCTGGTGCAGCAGCTGGCTGAGCTGCGCGAGAGGGTGCAGCGCGCCGAGGTGACCAACAGAGAGCGGCGGCGAGACGTCATGATCCTCAACCACCAGATCGACACGTACAACGGTACGGCATGGGACTCAGGCACATCATGCTGCGTCTTGCAGCGGCACGCGGAGCTGCCCAACAACCTGAGGGAGGGGGGGGGGGGGGGGGCAGTGTTTCGTCGCGATGCTAAACGGTAGGCCGATTCCCGCAGTGGTGGATTAGGGAGCTCATCCTCCAGGTCGACGCGTGAGTTGTACGCCACGGTGGTCAAGGAACGGGGTTCGCACAGATGTGCTAGTGCATAGTGCTGCTCAGGCACCGGAGGGACGCTCAGTGTCACGTCATGATCCGGATGTGGTGGATTGAAGCTGGCATCAGCGGTGGTGCCACGCGGCGAGGCCGGTGCTGGAGACTATTCTGAGGAGAGTCCAGATTGTCATTGAAAGTGACGTGGCCTGGCAGGCGGGAGCGCACTGAAAGAGCAGCAACAGCAGCCACATTTCCGCCATACCTACTGACCCGGGTCGCGCGCCTGCCCCGGAAAACTGCGAGTGATTCCGCCGGCCCATTTCGGCGCAGGCAGTGTGGATGTGGAAAATGCAGCGCCGCGATTCCGACTCTTTTCACTGGGACACGTGGCCTTGACCGGGTTGTCCAGGTGCCGCCTGCGCCTTGGTCCGCGCGGCACGGTGCATTAGGTCATCGCGCCGTCCGGTTAAGCTCTTTGTACGCTCGTTCTCTTGCGTGACCGGTCCTGTTTGGGGTTAAATGATGGCGAACACCGTGCTGGCGGGGAGGATAAAGGGGTGGCCCGGCTGCGCCAGGCGCGCGGTGCCACACCAGCGGCGTGGCTTTTACCGGCTGCGCGTATTTCGCCTTAGCGTCATGCAAGCTAACCTGTTCGCGTCAATACCGAACCGCTGAAGTAATGACGGGAAATTTGCTGGCGTTTTCGCCCGCGTGGCGTCGCCCCTGAATTTCGCATTCGTTCTGTGTCGTTGGCAGCAATACCAGGGCAGCAGTACTGGCCGTCGTCGCTCTCGCGTGTCCCTCTCAGGCTACGGGAGAGGGGCCGGGCTGCGCGGCTCTGAACAGTGGCGGCTCGGCCAGAGACGCCTTGGCTCGGCTCGGCCGAACGACGCCGTCGGTGGCCGTGACTCATGGGTCGGTGGGCGCGGCGCGGAGCGGCCGTCGGCGGCCACTGTTCGGGAGGTGCGCTCCTCGGCGGCGCTGCCGACGTCCGCTGGGGGCCGTCCGACCGCAGGCCGTCGCTACCGGCCGGCCGCGGCGCGCCGAGAGCGGTCGGCGCCGCGCCGGACCGGCGGTGCCCGGGCTCCGACGGCCGCGTCCGGCTGCGGCGGACGCCGTGCTAGTCACCGGCGGCGGGGCGAGGTTCCGGTCGGACGGGACAACCCGCGCAGCCGAAGACACGACCCGGCGCGATGCGCCTCCCCGCCGACCCATGTTGCCGCAGGTGGCTGGTGCCGCGCAGACGTGCCGTACCGCGGCGGGCGGGCCTGGCGCCCCGCGTACACCGGCCTTCGCGCGGTCCCCGCGGCCGCTTTATCCGGCCTACACGACCGCGGGGTCCGGTCTCCGCAGCCTCGGGATCCAGTCTCCGCGGCTCCGCGGCCTCGGGATCCGATCTCCGCGGCCGCGGGATCTGGTCTGCACGACCGCGGGGTCTGGTGTACACGACCGCGGGTCTGGTCTAGATGGCCGCGGGGTCTGGTGTACACGGCCGCGGGGTCCGGTGTACCCGGCCTCTGTAGCCGCGGGATCCGGTCTCCGCGGCTGCGGGGTCCGGTCTCCGCGGCCGCGGGGTCCGGTCGGCATGTGACGGCCACGGCTGGCCGCAGCGGCCGGCCGTATGAGTACGGTACCGTCCGGCGCGGCTGGTGATCGCCGCCTCTCCCGCGGGACCTGGTCGACAGGCTGCGATAGTTGGTCAGCGTCGTTCGTGGCCTTTGGAAGGGTGCCAGAACAGGTTTTGTGTGCATGCATGTATGCATGCGGTAGTATGCATGCATGTCGCGCTGACGGCGTAGTGGAAGGACTGCGTTGCGCCCCCACTGGGAGGGGAGGGGGATAGCCACGGAGGGGCATCGGGAGCAGGCTTTACCCGCCTCACTGGGCCGAATACTTCCAGAGGTGAAGAGAGGAACGAACGAGGGAATCATTCGGGTTGAGTTACGAGGGCCCTGTAATGATGTTGTTGAGGGGGAACTCGTCGATATGTGTTGGTCGTGATACCAGTGGGTTTTACCACCGGTTCGTGATTGGCGCGTGCAGCCGATAGGCTTCTGGACGCTCTGGCCGTGGCGCAGTGCGGCACCGGGAGCTCTGTGGTGCTCAGGTGGAGAAACGTGGATTTGCCGTGGGTTGTCATGACAAATCGCGTGAGCCGAAGATGGCACCCGCTGCCAGACGTGCTGCCAAGTGTCAGATGGGGTCCATGATCGCGCGATTCATTGGATTGTAGTTACTTGATTTTCTGCTGCATAGACCGAGGTTGGCAGTGGCCGTATAGACCGTACGCGCTTACGTCGTCTGAGCCTTATAGCGGAAAAAGAAATGGAGAAAATGTTAACTAACCCTCAGCTGGAAAAGTGAGTTATTTGATAACTGGGCGTGGCCAGGTAAAAAATGGACAGGTAACTTGACTCATACTATGAAAACACGCTAAACACGGCGATACGATCGCTGTAGAAATTGCTGCACCGCAAATTATTGTTGTTTTCAGTCCAATTCCCGAATCGTTTTTATTTTAATGAGCCTAGCTGGACTAAAGTTGTTTCGGGTGGGGGATGCAGCTAAAGTAGGAAGATCGTATTCTGACAATAATCGACCAGCAATGTACCACGAGGTGCTGATTAAACGGCGTTGTTGAGGAAGCGTCGGCTGAATTGACGGCTCGATGCCTTGAGCTACGCTCATCAGCACGAGCGGCTGTCAGCTGACGATAATTCGATGCCGAAAAACCGGCAGCTCAAGGTGTTTCTCGTTTGCGTCAAAATGGAATGACAGGCATATTTGGCGTGGTGGTTTGAACCTGTAAATATGTAAACATACAGACAACATTAGGTATGCTTATAAGGCTGAAAGTCGGAGTTCTTATGAAGGTTAAGGTTCAGTAGTTGCTCGGGGGCAAGTTGTGTTTTGTGTCGGATCGGTAGCGATGGTGAGCGGCCGATGTGAACGGAGCTCAAGTCCAAGTCATGTACTCCTGAATGTCATTAGCCGCTGGAAAAGCTGTTCACCCAGTGAAGAATGGATAGGTAGGTGGGGAATGATGCTTTCGAACAAATTATTCCCCTGAAATGCTGTCAGGTGTATGCTTAACTCTCCCCATAACTCCTCCAATGCTAGTTTGTTAGGTTGGGCTGGGTTTATACTGAGTTGGACGAAGCGTAGGAAGGGAAGTATGACCATCCCTACGGTTCTTTCGCTCTGGGATATAAATGATCATCCACGGCGCGGTGGGTTTTGAGCCCACCTGGTAGAGACACCGCGGAACTGGAAAAAGCCTGAATGAGCACTGTTTGGACACTGTGCACGTGTGGATGTGGCTCCATACACTTCGCTTATTGGAAGGCTCGGTTTGAGCATATGAAATCAAGTGGCGGGGTCAGTGAGTGGGTGGATCAAGTGCCCAACTAGTCGAAGAGAGATCGTTGTGGCACTGAGAACAGACCATTTTATACCGCACCTCCCAAGATGAGACCTCTGCTTATACTTACGCTGCAAAAAGAGGAAAGAGATGGAAAGTCGCTCCGTCATGTTTCATGTACCAGCGTCCTGTGCCGTAAGACCCTTCCCCACTGTTGGGCGCGCGCCACTGCTGCTGGCCTGGTGCTGTGTGCCGGGCCGGACCCTCGCAGACAGTGATTCCCGTCGATAAACCGTCTGTCTCGAGCAGCCATTAGCGTAATACCGTGCATCGGGTGGCTGAATGTGGGAGCTGAAACCGATTGGTTATTTGGCAGAGTCCACACAGGCCGGAACTTATTCTGTCTTCCAAACGCCAAACGCTTATGAAGCTTGCTGTCCAGCATTGTTCGGTTTTGAAGATGAGCTTTGCCTGAAACGTCGAGCATTCTCGACATTAGCCAATCATTGCTAGGCATTTATGTGCAACGACTGCCTCCGCCTATAGTAGGTGATGAGGGGCGCAGGCGAACTGCACACACAGGTACTCTAATCAAATATTGCGACTGATACGAGCTATCGGGGGCTGCTCAGGGTCGGGACCTACAGCTACTGACCACACAGGACCAACGTTCGCTCGTAACCCTGAACGCCTCTGGAAGCTGGCTCATTGAGAGGCGAAGGCTGATGCTCATTAATAATCTATGATGGCTCCAGCCTGCAGACCGCTTCTGCACGTGTTCTTGATGGCTACTTGCTAGTTACCTGAAGGCATGGACGTAGTTCTGTGTGACATTGTTACTAACTGACAGGTAATGAAAGTGATTTCTGCAGGCTGGTGAGGTCATACCAGCTGACCATATTGTTAGCGCTCACTGAGTTGATAGCTGACGCGGGTCAGGTGGTAGTTGCATTCTTCAAATCAACGGCAGGGTGTGTTCGCTCAGGACAAGTACGGTAAGGACAACCGTGACCCGTCGGGATGAGGTTGCTTTACATATGCATGTCGTCATTACGGCAGTAGTACTGTAAGGACAGCCGTGATGCGTCGGAATGAGGTTGCTTTACATATGTATGTGGTCATTTCCCACCGCAAGACGGGCTTATCGAGCTCCTGCAACACTAGCGCGTCATTTGATCATCGTCGGATATGTATGGTGGTTCTGGCCCCGCACCGATCGCAGTGCCGACAGCGTGCCACGCGCTGGACACCGGTCCCACTGGCGTTGAAACAGCGTCCAGACCGTACTTATGATAGCTGACGCTTGGGGCTACTTGCCGTGGCCAGCAGCAGCGCCTTCATGCGCGCGGGATCACCGAACGCCGGCCTGTCGTGCGGAGGGCCGGGTGCGCGGCGCCAGCCGGCCCTGCCGGTGGTGCCACGTGACCTGATGGCGGCGTGTTCATTCGCCTTGTGATCCTGATGGCGGTGTCGGGGTGGTGGGCGATGCGACGCGGACAGATGAAGGCGGCGGCAAGCTGCCGGCGGGCGTCAGGAGCGCACGGGCCTCCGGTGAGGGTCGTGCGGCCTGGTCGTGCGCGCACGGATCAGCCGGGCGGAGGACGGACGCATCAGCGGTACCGACGGCCTTGGTCGTGCTCTGAGGCTACAAGCGTGTGTATATGTGTATGTGCGAGGGAGTGTATGTGTGTGTGTGTGTGTGTGTGTGTGTGTATCAGACGCGCAATGGCGACACAGCGTGGGCCGGCTGGCCAGGGAGACAGACTGTTTACCGCGTCTGGCAGGGTCGGAGAGACGCCGCGCTCTGGGCCGAGTCCGGAGGCCAGCCAGCACAGCACGGCTGCTGGCGCGACTCTCCGTCCACGTTGCGCTGTGGGCGTCAGCTTGGCGACGGCGGCTTTGACGTGAAGGACTGCTGGCCACGAATGGGTCATGTACCGACAGTCGTCGATACCGGCTTGAGAACTTTGGACCAACGTGGCCTTAGACCGACACCAAACGGATTCCGTACTTAGTTTAGGCACACTCAGCTCGTTCCAGGGTGACTCCGTGCACTCCTTGGGTCCGCACCGCCACTCACGCAATTCTTCACTGATGCTGCCACCTCAGAATGACCTCGGGCTGACTAGGACTGTCCAGCCTGAACGCATACTAACCACAGACAGGCTGCAGAAATCCAGGTCACCCCAGCGTGACCCCGGTCCATCTCCACGCGTGACCGTGTGCTCCGCTGCAGGAAAGCGGGCGAGCCGAGCGCCGTCACCGCCGCCGCCGCCGCCTCCGCCGCCGCCGGCGGTGGTGGGGAACAGCACGGTGACGCCGTGGAAGCCCACGGCGCCGGCGCGGTCGCCGCTGCCCTCGGCCGCCCCGCTGGCGCACGTGCAGGAGCTGAACAGCGACCTGGAGGTACGCTTGCCCGCCCGCACGAACCCGGAGACATGACCGTGTCGCGATGGTCTCAGCAGGGACGTACGGGCGTGTCGTGTTAAGATTTGCACTGGGACTCAATGTTTTTTTTTTTTGGATGTGATGCTTATCATTCGTGAATTCTGCCATCTGTTGCCATTAACGTAACACGTCGCCTTCTGTCGTGAGAAGCATGACATGCGGTGTTTGTATCGCTTTGTGCAGTTGTGTTACTCACTTGGAATACTACGCTCCCCTTACGAACGGATTTTTCTGTAATGGACGCCAAGAATGGCGCGTGCATATGAGTTTTGAGCATTCATTGTCTTGCTGAATGGCGTTTGTCGTTCCTCAACATGTTGGTTGCCGTGCCATATTTGTCAGGATTTGTAGTCACACAGTTTTCCTCGTCTGGTAGACATGCTCCTGCTTATTTTTGTGTGTTCCATGATAGCTGCTCTCTTCGTTAACCCAAAAACTGCTCGTCGAGTAATAACATAGCAACGATGTTTCACCATATATATATATATATATATATATATATATATATATATATATATATATATTATATTTGTAAAGCGAGCTATGCCATCACTCTGGAGGTCTCAAGTTGTGTAACCGGGGCTGATATGATCAAACGGAGATGCTATCTTTTGAAAGTTTCCTATCTACACGCATTGTGACCACGTTACAAGCCGTGACACGCGTCACGGACCCGTGAGACCGTGACGCCGTGATCCATATCGTGACGCCAGCATCGCACTCCGGATGCTGCGGCGGACCGGCGCGTTGATAGCGATCTCGCCCGGCAATCTGCGCGCCGTGCTGCCGGGCACGCTACGGTCTGCGCGTGTCCGGCTGCGCTGTGTCCCGCGCGCTTCACGTCACAATGTGACCAGTGACGTCACAATTCACGCCACAATCTGATGTGATTGTCATGATCTGAATCATAATCGCCCCATATGACGTTAAGCATTTGATGGAGTCCTGCATGCCGATATGAACCATGCCAGACCTCATGGAATACGCCGTACAATCGGTCATGGGACGCTGCCCCCCCCCCCCCCCCCCCCCCCGGCTCGTCGCGCTCCTACTAATGCGTTCGCTCGATTGGCTGGCCGTGCCATGCGATCAGCGCCGCGTCCGTAGTGGCGAGTGCTTACTTACATCGACGGTGATTGGTGCGCCAATTGTGATGTGCATAATCCATCGCCATCGCCATCGCCATCGGTCACGTGCAGTCGCTCACGGCTTCGCGTGACGTTCGACGATCTTTTATTCAGAAGTGTAGACTGGCATCGGGTGCGCTCGTGGTGCCTTCGCTTTTCACAACGTCGCCAAATTGGCGCGATTGTGGCATTAGTGCGTCGTGGCGGCTGCGCTGCAGCAGTGCAGCATGAGCCCAGCCACCGACTCGCCCCTAAGCCCAGGTGACCCCGCTCGCGCCGCAGCAGGCCTGGGGCGCCAACCACACCCGTGTGACGTCGGTCACGGGGTCGCCGTCGGCGAGGGCAGAACCGTGCCGCGCCTAAGCACGGTCGTCGCGGCGCGCGCCGGCTGTGACGGCGCCGGCCGCCCTGCCGCAGGTGCCGGGCTTGCTGAACTACCTGCCGCACCTGCTGGGGCACCCGCACGCGCTGACGCCCGTGCTGCACGTGAGCCAGGGCCGTCGCGACGTGACGGTGGTCATGGGCCTGCCCACTGTCAAGCGCCAGGTGCAGAACTACCTCATCCCCACGCTCAAGAATCTCATCGACTGCATGAACGCCGAGGAGCGCGCCCAAGCCCTGATCGTAGTCCTCATTGCTGAGGTGAGAGGCCCTGGTAGTCTTCATCGCTGAGGTGAAAGGCGTTGGTCGTGGTCTTCATCGCTGAGGTGAGGGGCGTTGTCCGTGGTCTCCATCGCTGAGGTGAGGGGCGTTGGTCGTGGTCTCCATCGCTGAGGTGAGGGGCGTTGGTCGTGGTCTTCATCGCTGAGGTGAGGGGCGTTGGTCGTGGTCTCCATCGCTGAGGTGAGGGGCGTTGGTCGTGGTCTTCATTGCTGAGGTGAGGGGCGTTGGTCGTGGTCTCCATCGCTGAGGTGAAGGGCGTTGATCGTGGTCTTCATCGCTGAGGTGAGTGGCGTTGGTCGTGGTCTTCATCGCGGAGGTGAGGGGCGTTGGTCGTGGTCTCCATCGCTGAGGTGAGGGGCGTTGGTCGTGGTCTCCATCGCTGAGGTGCGAGGCGCTGGTCGTGGTCCGCACCGCTGGGCTGAGGAACGCTGGTCGTGGTCCGCACCTCTGAGGTGAAGGGCGCTGGTCGTGGTCTGCATCGCCGAGTTGAGGAACGCTGGTCGAGTTCCGCACCTCTGAGGTGAAGGGCGCTGGTCGTGGTCCGTGTCGCCAAAGTTAGGAGCGCTGGCCTTGATCCGTATCGCCGGAGTGAGGGGCGCTGGTCGAGGTCCGCACCGCTGGGCTGAGGAGCGCTGTCGTGGTCCGCACCGCTGGGCTGAGGAGCGCTGTCGTGGTCCGTGTCGCCGAGGTGATAAGAGCATGGTGAGGTGGGACGAGCCCTCATTGCAGTGGCGAACTCTGAAGTACATAGCGGTGTTTGCAGGGACCTCGCTTGCATAAACCCGCGTGACTGTGATTTGCAAGTAATATGAACCGTTGACACTGGAGCGACAGCTTGTCTGGTCATGTGATGTCCCTGTGAACAGGCCTTTACCAATGCAACCCTTTCAACGTAGCTAGTTGGGATTAAGGCGTTCTGGTGGGGATGTTGGAGTGCTGCAGCTCCCAGACTTACCGCCGATTTACGTATGCGCCAACGGGACTAAGAACCGGTCATGGTGCGCGTACTTCGGTGATGGCAGTGACAGGATGGTAGTAATGCCTAGGTTTTGCGACGTTTTGAACTGCGAGCTCATGCTACTAGCATGAACTTGAACAGCCCAACATGAACAAAAACAACTTAAAATGGCTTGTATGGCTGCCGGATGCGCTGTGCACTGTTCAGCCACTGTGATGACCTGCAGTCCACGTAATTAGTAACGTCCATGTAATCAGTAATGTATCTATGCGCCGGCCCTTGTAAAGTATTTTCCGCTCTGAGTGTCGTGCTAAACAGACCAGTTTAAGCCGGTTTGCAGTATCGCGGGCCGTCACCTGGCGTGGCCCCAGCTGCGCTGCTGTCCGCCGCACTGTTCGCCCGGCCGGCCGCCCCATCCCCCCACAGTGCCGGGGCCGTTATCTGATGGCTGCGGCGGTCCACGCGCCGGCCGGGCCGCGTGGGCGACCGGTGACCCCAGCCGAGCACGCTGACCCATATAACCCCGGCCAACGGTGTGCCGCAGACGGACTTCGAGTACTGCACCCGGACGGCCCGCGAGATCCAGAACAAGTAAGTGAGGCGAGCGCCGGGCACTGAGGCCATTGGCGACGTTATGTGCAGCTAGTGGGTGCTACTCGCCCGGACGCTGTATTTCCCATTGTGGCTACCGTCTGGAAATCAATCGCCAACGGGGAAACTTCCTGAACGCAGCCTGCAAGCTAGAACACAACATATTGCATTTTTTCTAAGGTTTGCTGTAGACGTGTTTGTCAAAACACCGTATGACGTTCACGTCACTACATAATAGTAGTAGTAGTAGAGGTGGTGGTGGTGGTAGAAGAAGTAGTAGTAGTAGTAGTAGTAGTACTAGTAGTAGTAGTAGTAGTAGTAGTAGTTGCAGTGGCAGTAGTAGCAGTAGTAGTAGTAGTGGTGGTAGCGGTAAAAGCAGTAGTACGGGTGCGAGTAGGAATACGAGTAGGAGTGGTAGTAGCGCACAGTGGCAGTTTTTCAGCTGCGATATTTTAAACGGGCTCCCTCCTAAGGAGTCGCATGGCTATCGATCTCTCGGTCCGCGCGTTAGCAAGTGATTAAAGTTCGCCGTTTTAATTGCGCCGGCGCAGGTGTGTTCGATTATGGGTGAGCGACATGTGACGTTATATGACAGATAACACGTATATGACGTGATTCCCGGATCCTGTTGTCCGGGTCGAAGTGGCCTGTTTAGCCATGTAGTGGTGGTAACAGCTGATGTCAAGTTCCAGCAGTTTCAAAATATGGTCCAGGCCTGAACCGATTTGCATGGATACATTGTGACCTGAAACTGGCTTATGTGGTTTGGAGGCCGGTGTAGACTATCTCTAGAACGCCCGACCGTGGGTTACTGCATAATATTTTTCAATCTTTGATATATATATATATACATAAATATGATATACATACATATATATATACATAAATATGATATACATACATACATATATATATATATATATATATATGTATGTATATAGCATATAGAGGCATATAGTTATACATATACATATATACATATATAGATCATATATATAACTATATGTAGATACCGTTTCAAGTGTGTTTGCACTTAAATTATATGTATTCCATGTAGATAGCATGCCATGATCCAAAAGTTTCAAATGACCATGCATAGGCGTGCTGCTCTTCTTCTCATTCTGCAAGCGGGGCATCCAGCGCAGATTTATGGTAAGATGGCTGTTGTGGTCTCCACTTAGTACCGTGCCTGATTTGTAACGCGGAGGGTTTTGTTGTTTTTTTTTTGTTGTAAATCTTGCTACGCTCCCCAACAAATATTATATATGGTAACGTTTTGAGTATCTTAGTGGTTATCTTAGCGATAACCAACTAAAAACTTTTTTCAGGTCGGCTAAGCGGGACTGAAACTCTCCAACTCTCCAGCTGCATGGGAGAGGAAATGACTGACATGGCAAACGAGTCGTTATTAATGGGCCCCCGTCGAGCGCAGTTTAGAACACTAAGCTCCCATGGGGATTGTCGCGCCGCTACTTCCATACACCAACAGTTTTTACAAAGTTAGATTGAAGTATGTCTCGATTTGGTGATGTCTATGCGGCAACTTAACCTTGACCAGCTGCGATCATCCAGACACCTGCCGCATCATGGGGAGATTGGACCGCCCCTGCCAACCCCACTCCTAGCTTACTACGTAAAATAGAATGGTTTGCTAAAGAGCTAGATAAAAGCAGAAAAAATCTAAAAACGGTGCGGTAGCACCTTACAATCAACAACTGTAACGCCACTCAATTTTCCGATAACTCACACGGTAGCATGCTACGTCAGGTCGCACTAGGTTATGCGACGTTTCAAGGTTGAGCAAAAGCCAGGGAGCGAGACTGCTCTCTCCATTTGCGTTGAAGAGAACGACAGGCTGCGATTTTTTTTCTAGTAGAGGGCGATCGGATTTCTGACAGGGTAATTGGTATGAAACATCGCCTCCTATCAGAAGTATGCCCGCGCTGGGTGCTCACTCGTAAGGCCTTGCGTGTCAGTCGACCAGCTCATACGGGGCGGCGTTAGGCCTGCATGAGATTTATGTACAGCAGTAACGTGCACCGCGGAGCGATTTTCGCCCCGGACGCATGCTAGCTGAGTGAGGTAAAAAATTATTGCTTGGCCAGCCGTGCAAAATGCGCTTTGGTAGCCCACCCAGGCGAATTGGATGCTATGGTGAGAGTTTGCAGTGACAGCCGCGGATTTGTTGAAGCGAAGTTTTGTCCTCGTAGCTCAGTTGGTTAAAAGGTATGCATTACGATCCACCGATCCAAGGCGTGGTGGTTCGAGTCGCTATTTGGGCTTGACAGACATGACCTGCAGCCGGTGGCAGCGGCCGCACTGAAAATCAGGTGACGTCAGAGGGCAGGACGGACCCAAGCCCCACATTACTGCATTCTGGGTAGCGATGCTCTGACGTCATCATGGGACTAAGTCATTCGGCACCAATGCAACGGCCGCATGAAAACGCTGTTTTTTTGCGGGCTGGTTTAAACATAAATGTCTCCATGAACTGACTTTTTTCGACCTAGCGCTTTCAATGAAGCATTTTCAGCTGAGAAATGGCGTCTGTTTGCACCAGAGGTACGAAATTATTGCTGAACTTGCACGGAAAGGCAAAAGATTGTCCCAGGGTGTTGCAAGCACTCTGGGACGCGCATCGAGAAATTGGAATGCACATCCTGTAGCTTTAGGAGGATGCAGGGTGGATGCCAGGGTGGATGCAGGTTTGGTTTGCCCTAATGGGGACAGATGAATGAACCCCGGGTGGCGGTTCAAAAATTGAACCCCATATGTCAGCTGGGAAATGGTCTTCTGGATATGTAAGGATAGTCGGGGTATTATTGCCAGCAGACCTTTTTTACCTACCCATCGGACCTTATGTATCTGCAAGTCAACCAGTGACTAATAAGATTACAGTAAAGTAACGGCGAAATTTTTGGCACCTGCCCTCACATTATCTGATTTTCACATATCACCCCACTTAGGTACTACAGTACGACGATAAATGGACAATCACCAGCCATTTATAAATTTAAGGAAAACGTTACACATGATATCCATTTATTTACAAATAAATATATATTTCACAAAGGGGTTTTACGCATGAATGTTCCGGCACGTTGACTACGACGAATATGGCGCTGGTACTGGACGTAGAAAACGTGGTTTAGAAGGATTTATTTTTGGAAGCAGATCGCAGTACCAATTTGTCTTTAGAAGGTTTTTAATGCAAAGTGTGCAATATCTGTCCACATAAAATCGAGGTAAAGAGCAGGATGGTAGATGGCAGGAGGTAGGGCAGGATGGCTGCCCAGTTCATTGGCAAAATCTCCTACTCGTAATCATGCTACTAGTATCTACCAACCTTCTCGTAGTATCAGCCAAAAACCATACACTGGCCACCAAACTTTAGTCCCTTGGTGACGTCACGTCTGCATAGCCTCCTCTAGTAGCCTTGGGCCGTACGCAACATCGCGGCACGTTAAACTTTCGCCGCTACATTCTGCTGTTGACCTAAATTGCATGATCGGATGGTAGGGGTCAGAGTTCACACAAGAAGCGCTATTTAGCGTAAGCTCTGATCCCAGAAAGCCATCCATTCACAAGGCTGGGAGTAAATCTTGGAGAGGGTCGTAACGGCTGACAGCGGAAAGCGCAGGTCATCAAGTCTGGAGGAAATTTGTTTGGTGGTGTACGCAGAGCCCGTTAATGAACGCTGAGAAGGAGCGTAGTCGATTCCAACAATTTGGGTAACACCCGTCCGGGCAGTTGTTAGTGTCTCTATATGCTTGAGCACATCAGCTGAAGTTACGCGATAGCAGGAAGGGCAGGAGGCTGAATCAGTTGCTGTGTGTCCGAACTAAGCATTGGTTTAACGCCAGTTGGGGATTTCGGCGAGCTTACCAATAGGCCAGCGTGTAATGCGTAACATGTTATCGGTGCATACTAATCACAGAGGCATTTTAAAGAAAGACAAAACCAAGAACGCAAGTCCACCAAAGTTTGAAAGCCGGTCCGTGCCGGCAGGACGTGGCTGAGCCATACCCCACCTCGCCCCTGGTTGGCTGCCGCTGCGTCTGCAACAGGCGTGAGTCAGCTTTTGAGGCCATCTGGGCCGAGCTCTGGGCGTGGATCACATTGATCCGGGCGATCACAACTCCTAATGTGTTGTGGAATAGAATGGTAGCTGCTGACATCTGTCAAGCACGACTTACGGCAGTTGCCAAGCAATCAATCACTTTCGATGAACGGCAGATACGGATCGCATTAGGGGCGTTGGTTTGAAAACCCAAATGATGCTCAAAACGCACGAGAGCATCACGGAGCAAACTGAGGTCGACAAGACAAGAATTGCGGTGATCGTTCCACTGTACCTTAATGGCGTAAAGGACGAAATGTTTCAAGACAACTCTTAAAAACATGCGATTCTGAGAGCATTAAAGCGGTCTTTTCAAAATTGTGTGAGACAAGTAGGTCGCATTGTGACGCAGTCCTGAGATGAAACAGATGTGCACAAAGAAATCGAGACCTGATGTCAGACGAATGCGGCACTGACATCCTATTGGCATTGACTGCGAGAAAAACTCGTCCTTTGGTTGTACTGTCACGTGAAGACAGGTATAGATCTACCAGTGGAGGCGGTACTTTGTTTAGATGCTATATATACATGCAAGCGGAACCTTACTGAGTACCCGTCATGCTCTGTGTCGTTCCGTGACATTACCGCCACGCTGGAGTGCTTGCCGTTCGTGGTAACGATGCATATCAAACGTCGTGTCGGCTTTATATCACGATGATAACGGCGCGGTGCTAGATCGTGTGCCAGGAAGGACTGTGACCATCTGAATGGTTATGATGCGGTTGGAGCAGGTGTGTGGACCAGGGAGCATGCGTCTTTCTTTATTTGGTTGGTTTCGGCTGGATAGTTTCACAAATAATAGGTATGAATAAAATGACGCTATTTGGCAGGCTGATCGTTTGCTGTCAGTAAGCCTTTAATGTGTCGCCAGAACCACATC